CAAGGCCTCAGATCAGGTTTTGAGGAGTGTGGAACCACCCCTTAATTACTGGTGTTCCCAGGTCCAACTGTTAGGGTCCAATCTATGGGCAAATAGTTAACCCTGTGTTATATTCCATGCTAAGGGAATAAATACTTAACACCGGGTGGATAATAGAAGAAAGGTTTATTGTATACAACCAGTACAATATGAAATACGGTACAGTTATACACACAGGCCAATCTAGTAGTGAGTGCCACTAATTAAAGGTCGGACGTGTTTGCGTCTTCTCACTCTTCCTCAAGTCTCTCGTGGACATTTGACTTTATAGGTACTTGCTACCTATAGTGCAATCATTCATGGGGGTGACTGGTTATTCCATTACATCACCCTGAAACTGGGGGTAAAAACACTATGAAAGTGTAAAAACAGGTTTTAATACCGGAAAGATTTTCTAAAAAAATTATTTCCAACAATAAATTTTTGAAGAAAAACTATTACCAGCTGCACGTTTTTGAGGAAAAAAATATTACCAGAAATAGTTTTTTGAAAAAAATTATTCCAGCAACACATTTTTGGAAAAAAAAATATTATTACCAGAAATAGATTTTTGACAAAACAAAATATTACCAGCAATGAAAATTTTGTCAGCATTAAATAACCCATTGGGGTTGATACACCATAAAACAAAACAAACCAACCCAACCCAGAAACTATAACATCTGGTTACAGTAATAAAGTACAGGTTGGTTCTGTGGGAATTGAAGAAACTCAAATGTAACAAGGAGTAGGCATCTGTAACAAGGAGTAGCTAACGATCCTAGAAATAAGTCTACTCAAGAATAAACAGGCAGTAATTATATTATTACCATCTATGCATGTATGAGTATATAGATGGATAGAAAAGAAAAGGTGTAAAATTATAAGTGAGTGCCCTTTGCATGAAAGAAAAAATGATAAAAAATTGTTCTTTGTAAGTATTTTCTGTTTCTGAGCTTCACCTTTTAAGCAAATTTGGTTGTGTCAAAAAAATAAAATATGGGTTCTTTCAGCATAACAAGCCAGACCACACATTCCTATGCTTGAAAGGCAAGCTAAACCAAAAAAATGAGAAAGAAACTCAATGAGAAAATATAAAAATCCTCCAAAAACAAAGGAGAAATGAAAAGAAATTGCTTTATTTACTTTAAGACCATTTTGAGGAAAGAACAAATGAAATAAATATGGATGGTAGTTATGCAAGAATATAGATGGTTGAAGGTCATGTGCTGTCATTGAATATCATTTATTTTTGTATGTCTTAAGTAAAAGTGCTTCTAAGGGGAAGAAATGATGGTAAGGGAAGGGTGCTCAAAAAAGGAAAATTGTTTTTAAGGGGGTTAAGCCAAGTGAGGCAGAAATGAAAAAAAAGAAGAAAAAGAAGGTAAAACAAAATGAAGAGAAAGTAATAAGAAAAAAAAGAAAGAGTGAAAAAAAAAGTTGATGTAAAAGTGGGAATGCATAAACGAAAAGAACAAGGATAAGAAATAAAAATAAAGATTAAAACAAAGAAAAGCAAACGGGGGGCAGGGGTGAAAGAAAGTAATAAGTAAATAAAATACTAGAATAAGTAAAAAAATGTATTGAAGGGGGAACATAAATAGAAAACAAATAACATGGATAAAAACTATGAAAAAGAAATAGGAACAAATAAAAATAGAAAATAAAAAGAAAGGAGACATTATCGAGGAGGATGAATCAAAGTATAAAAGACAATTATAGAAAAGATGAAGGTCGAGAAACTTTTAGTATCAGTGATTAAAAAGAGTTATATGTAAAAAGTAAAAAATGATCTGAAAAACCAAAAGTGAAATGTGAATAGATCTTGAACATAATCACTTTAAACCTTTTTGGACTTTATTCTTTCATTTTTATTAATTTTGACTTCTTGAAATCATTCTGAATATGTTTCTCAGATAAAGTAAAATATTTTAATCACTTTATAATTAATAATTAATTTTGTGATAATTTAAATAAAACATGCCAATTATGTGTTAATTCATAATTTGTAAATAGTTATTGTTGCTGTCTATATTTCTGAGATGAGGTATTGTAATTATTTACGCTATTTACATTGACACATGGCTCAGGAGTTAACAACGTTGATTGATTCCAGTGATCTGACCCAAAGAGTTATGAGTTCAATACCTGGCCACAGCTGAGGTAAAAAAATTCCAAGATTTTTTTATTGATTTAAAGGGAGATAACTGATACCGAGACATCTAGAAGAGGCATGGCATGTGGAACTAGACCCCCCCCCCCACCGGTGGACGAAATAAAGAGTTCAGTTCAAAATTCCATTCACCAGAAGTCTGGAGCATACAATGGTTGAAATGTTGTGAATTAGCAATGAAAATGAGAACAACAGTTCAAACAATGTAAATAGTGTAAATAGTTATCTTTTACAATGATGTTCACCCAGTAGAAGGCCCAAGAGCCAGTGAAGGTAGAGGGTTACAAAAAACACCATCCCAAGCCAAGGGAAAATGCAATCAAGATGCAAAGGAAAAAGAAAAGAATTTAGAAGGAAATATAAACAAAGGATAAACCTCTACTCCTGTCCAAAAGACTGGGGAGGTGTGTATCTATTCCTATTACAGATGTGTGAGTGGTGTAAAAGCTGGGTGGAAAATGAAATCAGCAAGTGAAATTCAAATTCTGACCCAGGCTGTTGCAGTCCCCCTTTGCACCTTATGGGGTGGGGCAAGAATCTATCTATTCTTCTTCCAGTTATGGATAAATATTTACTCTCTAGACTTAGTTAGGCAACTAACCTAGGAGAAGAAAATCTCTGAATTCAAAACCATGAAGAAAGTAACAGGAAATCACTCTTAATTTACAGATATTAAAAAAGGAAGCTGTGGAGAGCTACGACAGCTTACATACTAAAGGAACATGGTATTTAAAGAAAAGAATCTTCATAAAATTCACAGCTACTTTTATATTTTTCTTCAATATTTTTAGCTTTGATTTTTGCAGATTAATTCTAAGATCCTGTGTTTGGAATTCAGCAATTAGTTCTTTGATATGTTTAAATAAATTGGTTTGTGGTTGCAACTTCATGGAAATATTTATTTTTCATTTTTTCCTTGTAATTTTTGTTTGTTTGTTTCCATTCTTTTTCAATTTATAATCATTTTACCCCAAGCAAAGCAATAAAGTCACTAAGACGCATTGGCTTACAGAGTAAAAGAAACAAAGAGGACAATAAAAGAACAGCAATTAAGAAGGCAGAAAATGGTGATTGATTGACATTGCATTTACATTTTGAAGATTGGAACCAAGAAGCCAGAAGAGAGTTCTACAAATGAGAAGTGCAGGAGAAAAAATCTATTAGTATAGAACTTATGGTTACAACAAGAAATTTCAACAGTAAAATTATAAAACTTTGCCACCAATCTGGTACTGGACTTTTTTTTAATTGACTTTACTCCAAGCAAGACAATAAAGATATTAAGACACAAGGGGTTATTGGGAATGCAAGAATTAGAAAACAGAAACATTACTAATGAGTGAGAACAATAGAAGACTAATCAAGAAAACAGTAGATAAAAATTGACATTGCATTTACATTTTTGAAAATCAAAGTTAACTTGAACAAATGGAGCCAGGTGAGAAGTTTCACAAGTGAGATGTGCAAGAAAAGAAACTGTTAGCCTATAATTTATCATTCCATTTAGCCAATTCAAATGTAAATTGTTGAGACTTTGTTGACAATCTTATATTGCGCTTAAATTCATAAAGTCTAGGTGCTCTTGTAAAGAGCTCTTCTGAAAAAGTGAAATGCAATCAGCATAAGGAAGCACCTTTATGGTGGTGGGAAAGTAACTGAAGCCTAGATGCCAGGTCAGGACCAACAATATTGCAGATTCTTATATGGATTTTACCAAGAATCTCTAAATATAGAGCAGGAGCACCAGACCATATATGGCAGCAATATTCTAAGAATGGATGAATAGTAGACTTATAAGTATATAAGATAAATTCTGGAGAGAAAAATTATCACAACACAGTGAACTGACTTTCTCAGCAGTTGAGCTAGCAATGGATTCAATATAGTCTTTCCACTTTATGTCAGCCAAGAATTTTCGCCTGAGAAGGCCCAACGAATTACTTTCCTGGAGGTTAGCATCAGCCATGCAGATGAAAGGCAGGAAGGGGTCTCTCAGATAATAAAGAGCAGTTTTGTTTTGGAGGCATTAAAATTAAGCATAGATACCAAGTTGAGACTTGATGCCATCTGGATGGTCCTTAATGAAAATTAAAAACAAATTAGGACGATAACTTCTTCAACTTCCAAAGATGACCAGTATGTCAAACCCTTTCGAACACTTTTAAGATATCCATAGCAACAGTCCAAGCTTCACCATTCTTATGTAAAGCTTGATAGACACTTTTCACAAAAAATTGTTAATACATCAGCAGTTGACCTAGAAAAACTAAAGACATATTGCTTATCTGAAAGAAGGTACTGCAATGTGAGATACTTAACTAATTCAGTATTGATTAGGGCTTCTAGTATTTTACAAAAAAGAGGTATAAGAGGGTCAAACAGTTCACCTGGGTTTTTAAGGGCCGGAACAACAGATGAGGATTTCCAAACAGTAGGAATGTAAATTCATAAAGTTGAGTTGCCAAAGAGGAAAAAACAAAAGAACAATTACCATGAAAATATTTATAGAAAAAGCAAAGGAAAGCTATGTTATAGTGTTATGAAAGTGACTGAAGCCGAGATGCCAGGTCAGAATATATAATATTGCAAATTTTTCTTCAGTCAAGTATCTCAAAATATGTACTAGAAGCTCAAGATCAGATGTGACAGCAATATTTGATACATAGATGAATGGTAGACTTTTAAATGTGCTAGATTAGATTCTGGCAAGAGAAAATTGTCTTACATGACTGCCATATTTTTATTATTATATTTTTTGTCTTTCTTTCTAACTTTACAGTTTTCATTCATTCTTAGTTTATTTTCCATCATGTTATTTCAATTTCTTACTCTTTCTTCTTTCTTTTACACTTTTTCTTCTATCAAATTTTTCACTTTTTTCTTCTATTTTATTTTCTATGTTTTTATGCTTGTATTTTTAAAATGGTGTTTCTTTTTCCTTTCTTGCATTCTTCCTTTCTTTTTGTCAAGCTTTTTTCTTTCTTTCAGTCTTTCTTATTTTCCTTCTTTATTTTATCTTTTTTTTCAAATTTTCTTTCTATCTTCTCTTTTTATTTTTGAGATTTTTTTTATTCTTTTTTCCTTTCTTTTGTTAATTATTTACTTTATTCATATTTATTTATTCATATTTGTTGATTCATATTTATTGATTCATATTTATCTATTTATTTCATTCATATTTATTCCATATTTTATTCATATTTATTTTTCATATTTATTTATTTTATTCATTTGTTTCAGTTTTTTATCTCTCACTCTTATTTTTTTTTTGGAGATTTTGCATTTTTAAAAAATATTTCCTCTTTTTTTCTTTATCAACCTTCCCTACCACTCGCACACATCTTATTCTTCCTTTTGTTGTTCATTTATTCGTTTCCCACCCCTTTTTTCATTCTTACTGATGCGTTTCTTTCTAACGAATTCTTCACATTTTTCTTCTATGATACTTCTTGCTTTTTATGCTTGTATTTTTAAAATGATCACTTTTTTCTTTCTTTCTCTCATTTTTTCTTTCTTTTCTTCCTTTTTTTCTTACTTTTATTTCTTTCTTTATTTCATTCGTTTTTTTTCACATTTTTATTTTTAGCTTTTCTTTATCCTTTGTAGACTTTTCTATATTCTAAAATGTTTTTCTGTTATTAATTTTCTTCCTCACCCATTCAATATTTCTTATTCTTCCTTCTTTGATCTGTTTCTTTCTTTCCTTTTCACTTTCAGTCCTTTTCTTTCTTTCTTTCTTTCTTTCTTTCTTTCTATTTTCTCTTTTGACAATATTTCTTGTATACATACCCAGAAATGTTACATAATCTTTTATTGGTACAGGAGAAATACTGGAAGTCTCACTTGCCAAGAAAATAATGAGCTTCTTTCCATTTTTCAATTTCTAGAGCTTCCTAAGTGAAACAAGAATATAACACACACACACACACACACACACACACACACAGACAGACAGACAGAAAGACAGACAGAGACACAGAGAGCATCATGTGCAAGTGTATTGGAGTCAATTGTAAATTATGCCATTCTGAAATATTAAAGCATGTATATTTTCCTTATTATTAATAATTTATATTTTATATAAATTACTTTGCCCTACATTATTCCAGTTACGATGTTTCCAAAGTGAGGACACATGGCACAAGTGGATAAAGATGTTAGTTAGATCCAGTGACAGGGTCAAAAAAGTGTGAGTTCAATACCTGGTTAAGGCAGTGGAGAATTTTCAGAGGGGAATTAACAGGAGATAACTGACATCCATTAGACATGGCATGTGGAACCAGAACAGTTCACCCAAGTGAGCGAAATAAAGGCTGAAGAAGGCCAGAGTGTACATCGGCTGAAATGTTGTAATAAATATGGTGACAAAGATGAGGACAATTGTCTGAATAATGTAAATAGTGTACATATTACCTCATCTCAGAAATATAGACAGATACTGAAGAAGGCTGGAGTGTACAATGGCCGAAACATAATAAATATGGTGACGAGGATGAAGACAATAGTCCGAATAATGTAAATAGTGTACATATTACCTCATCTCAGAAATATAGACAGATACCTTGGAAAAGTCATGAATCTACCTCTTTCACTGCAGCTTTAATGGCAGCCAGTCTAGAAAAAGGATGACTTTGCATTCCAAAGTGCAGAGAAGCCAATGGTAAATCATGTTTCTCTCTTTCTGAGCAACAATCATGACATTGCTCAGATATTAAAAATAAAGATATTTTGGAGAGCCACAATCACGTATGTCCTGAAAATATGTTGCATTAAAAGAATCCAATATTTATTGCCTCTTTTTTCTTTTTAATTCTAATTTCAGGATTCCTCTGTGGACATTAGACAAAAACAGAACAATTAAATTAAGGCTTCATGAATTTGGTGACATCGTAATTGTGAGTTCAATCTCTTGGCTGGGTAGTGCAAACTTAGTGGAAACAGGTTAAGCAATAACTTCTGAAATAAGTACCAAATTAAATGAGATATCCTTACACATGGTCAGCTGAAAAAAAACAGTATATGACTGTAGATTAAATAAAGAGTTCACTTTTGATTTCCATGAAGGTTACTCAGAGGAAATCTTGGTAGGCACAATAGCTGAAAGGTTGTGATAATAACAACAAAGATGAGGACAGTAGTATGAGTGTAAATAATCTAAATTGTGAAACCCATTCTAATGTGTTTTCTGGTGATTCATTATCTGGACAGCAGGTTCTCTTTACACCAAAAGGAAAGATTCAGGACATTCCCTAATGTCCACAGTATTTTTTAAAATTGTCTAGATTGAAAATGCATTGTATTATTTTCTATACCATCCATTGATATGAATAAATAAATATGATTTTTTCTCTCTTCTAGCCATTTGTATAATATTTGTACAAATATTTCAGCAGGAAAATGCAGAGTAAACCATGGAGAGGGCATGTAAGCAATGAGGACATTTTAAGAAAAATTGAAACGAAAAGGTCATTTATAATTAGAATCAGAAAGACGCAGTTGAAATTTCTTGAAGGCATGAAGACTTGGAAAACTTGTCACTCACAGGATATATCAAAGGCAAGAGAGTAGAGAGAGAAACAAGTTTGTGTAAGTGGATAGCAGAACAGGGTGTGAAAATGATAGTAAAAATCAAACATTGGTAAGAGCTATGAAGGATAGAAAGTTGTGGAGAGCCATGATCTTCAACGTTCTAATGGTACAAAGCGTATAGAATATTTAAAGAGGATTAATAATTTCTGCCTGTGCTTACAGACTGGGCATCTGTCAGTAAAACAAAATAACCTGTCTGTTTTTTCTTTTTCTACCAGCACCTCTTAAATCAGAAAATAAAACATTTGACATGATGCAGATTTTGAAATGATTCTGTTCTGCCCCTTTCTTCCCAGAGCCATTTTTCTTGCCCTTTGTTCTCCTCTTGCTTGCCAACCATCTGCCTTCTTTTTATGAGATGGAACCTGTTTGGAAACTGGGCATCTCACAATCCAGAAATAACTAAAAATGAATGATGCTTATACTTTCTTATTGGTCCAAACATCAAACAGGAGAAAGATCATTAAAATGATGCCACCTCCTAAGTGTTGGCAGACATATGTTCATGAAAGAGAAAGAAACAACTTATTTTCTATATCTTTTTCTACTTTATTTCTTACCAATGTCTTTATTTATTTTCTTATTTAATTTATAACTTTCTTTATACCTTATATATTAATTAAATTCAACCTTTTTTCAAATAAACTGCTTCATCATATTTGATTTATTTTCATTTTTTTTACTATTGTTCACCTAATTCTTCTTCTATGTGCCATGTCCATTAATGACTTAGGCAATTATGGCTCTCCACAATTTCTTGACTTTTGTAGCTCTTAATAGATTTTGTCTTTTTGTTATTTCTCCTAATCCTTGTTCCACCATCCATTACTGAAGCTCACTATGTTATGCATTGTTTTCTGTTGTCCCACTTACACTCAATCTATCTTGTGAGTATCAGATTTTCCAAGCCCTCTTTCCTCATTATGTGCCCCAGAGATTTCAACTGTTTCTTCCTGATGTTAAGTTCCTTTTTGTTTCCATTTTCTCTAAAATTTTGTTATTGCTCACATATTCTGTTCATTGTATCCTCAGAATCTTTCAGTAGAACCACATTTATTTTGCTTCAAATCGCTTTTTCATTTTTGAGGAGACCGTTCAGCATTCACTACAATTTCCAGTACACATCATTCAGACAGACATATGTACTGACATCGTAATGTGCTCTGATTCAAAGAAGTGTGATCTAGTAGAAGTAATGCTTCCATGAGAGGAGAACAGGGAGGAGGTGCACAAGCAAAAGAAAAACCGCTGTGAACTGACTGTGTAGAAAAGGGGTGGACATGTCATGTGCTACCTCTTCAGATTGGGTGCAGTGAATTCCATCCTCTTGAAAGAGGGCATCACTGGCTGGAGCCTGAAGCATGCTTCATGTCATCTCCAGAACACAGCTCAACAGGCATCGAGTTGGATCTGATCAAGAACCAAAATAACAAAGTCATTTAAAACAATGCTCACAACATAATGCTACTTCCAAATGGAAACACATCTTTCTAACTTCCATTTTATGTTATTGATAATGGTCACTACAAGCACATTGTGTATCGGTTAACAATCAAAAGCAAGTGCTTTTAACACAACATTGAAAATCTGACTTGTAGTTGTAAAAAAATTGCAAGAGACTGTCACATCTATACAAAAAATAATACCCTGTCATGCAGAAAAAGTTGCTGGTGGCACCAGGGGTGGCAGTACCGCCTTAGCCAATAAAACTGTGTATGAAACCCCACCTCCCCCTGGTTGACTGTTGACATGGGCAGGGTATTGCCCATGCTTTCACACATTGTATGTAGAAAACAGGAGGGCAGATATTATTTAACAGTTTAGTACTCTTTTGTTTGTTTCTAATGAAATTTTTCTGTTTCTTCATACTCCGCTTAGCTGATTAGAATTGATATCATATAAATTTAATTTTGGCCACTATATAATTTTTTTTAACTCTTTCATACTATATATAAATTGATGACAAAGATATTCTTTGTATATGTTTCATGATTTTTAATTAAGCTGACATATAGGAGCAGAGTAAAGTCTTGGGGAAATCAAATATTTCTGGTGCTGCTGTAACCATTGTCAGTTTTTGATACTGAAAAGTGTTTTTTGAACTGGGATCAATTCAAGTCCATTAATGATCTCAGTCGGATTTTCCTCATGAAGACCTACATGCTTCATTTGTGTGAAACCATTTTTAATCATTGTTCAGATACAGTGGTTGCATACAACTGACAGTTTAGATATTTCTGAATGAGTTTGGTACCATGCATGACATACATATCAAAAATCAGATATGGATCATGTGGATTAGAATAAGACTTCCAGAACAAAAGTTTCTTTAAATAATTAAGGCAATATACATAATGAATATTAATGTAGAGAGGGTGGCATTAAAACTATTTATTCATTGCAATATCTGTCTCATATATATATAATAATGGACTCTCCCATCGGTTTTGATGTATGAGGATCTGACAGCTTATTGATTCAGTTATGAAAGTTTTTATATATATATATATATATATATATATATATATATATATATATATATATATATACCATGGCCTAATGACTGCACCCACACATTGGATGCACCCAAAATTTGGCATAAAATATGATGTAATGGAATAACCTGTCACCCCCATGAGTGACTACACTATAGGTAATAACTACCTATAAGTATCAGTAAGTTAACAGACTACAGAGACTAGCTGGGATCTGTTCAGCTAGACAGTCAAACTCTCTGCCTTTGGGCAGAGAGGAACCTGGATGAGGCTCCGCCAAAGGGCAGTCTCATTCGGGGAGGTAAACTGCCCCTGAACCCGTTTATGCGGGTTCAAAAGGGAATATTTTTGGCTGAGCCTATGGGCTCAGAGAACCCACTTTAAACTGACCTTGTGCCACATGCAACCCTCGTGGGGGGTAGCTAAATATACTAGCTGGGATCTGTTGAGTGTGTCTCAGACTTACGTGAGAACTACCGAACTTCCAAAAGTAGCACTCACTACAGGATTGACTTGCGATGACTTGTTACCTTTATTCTTATTGTATTGGTTTTTTTACAATAAACCTTTACTTATTTTATCCACCTTGTTTTACAAGTATATATTCCTATTAGCATGAAATATAACAAAATATTTAAGAAAAATAATGCTCTCATCACCAGCTCAAAAATCAAAATTATAACCTTTCCTTTATG